CTTCCAAGAAGAAGGAAACAACACCAGGTTGGAACGGAGGAGTAGTTACGATCAGGTACGTGCGAGACCACCGTAATCACAAAGACTTTCAGCTAAAATCTTTCTTTTCGCTGTTACTACACACAACGAATCAAATCACGACACGTCGTTCTTAAGATTTTCCCCAAAAAAGGTAATGTTACTCTGTATCGTGGTTCACATGGAACGGGGAAAGTGTCAGCTGAATCTTTAATTTATTTTTTCACATCGAATCATTTTAGGACAACTGTTGCATAAGATTTGATTACTCGCTTAATGACTTGATTTTAAAAATATTTAAACGTTTCGGACAATGAAGAGTGGTGCTTAATGGGCCTGCTTTGCGAAGGAGTTTGATATACAAGCGCCGAGCTTGCGCGTGAGTGTTCGAAAATAGGAAAGAAAAGGCGTGTGATATGGACGTATTAAAAACAAAAATTTAGAATGAATGTCCCATAAGCTCAATGTCTAGGAACCGCTAGTTGTACAATGTATTTTTTTATCTTAATTGTACCAAATAACTAGTTGTACTATGCATTGATAGTTGTACCAAGTAATATCTAGTTCAACTGTATCTTAATAGTTGTATAAAGTAATATTATAGTTGTACCATGGTACAACAGTTGTATCAAATATTACTATCCAAGTTGTACCATGGTACCAAATAGGAGTATTGGAGAAATGAGTATACCAGACAATAGAATAGTACGCCAAAAATGAGTAGATACAAATTAGAGTATTTCAGACATTTGTCCAAAAATTTAACAGATCTAGCTGATCCAATAAAAATTCTAGCAGCATTTACCAACAAAATTCTTTTAGATTTACTACATGATCTCTGATTTTTGCCAAAAATGTTAACATATTTTTTGGTAAAAAAGTTTCCAGAAACTTACCAAATAATTAAATGGTCCATCGATACAAATTTTGTTTTACAAAACTATCAATCGGTGAGCTTTTTTACGTTATGGATCATATTCTCCATTGCTTGAAATGGAAAATGATATTTTATAAAGAATTATATGCTTCATCCAAAATGGTAAGTGTTGGGGGTGTGTGTGGTTTGGGGACACTTATTTCAAAAGTAAGAGATTGTGGTCAGTCAACAAAGACCAATTTGAATTAGTAGGATACGTGATGTATAATTAGTGTCATGTGGTTTTATATTATTTTTTAATAGTACCAGATTATAAACAAATGCAATTTGACTTACATATGACTCATCACGTTTTGCTAAGAACCAAAAAAATGACTCATCATGCTGACTTCTTCAATAACTCTGATTATTTTTAGTAATTTGTTGGATATAATGTCATAGGCTTAATCTTATTAGATTTTGACTAATATCCAACCGAATTATTTCGTCTATTGGTTAGTATATTATCATATTTGTACACAGATTTGAATTCCCCGTTTTAAACAACACAGAAACCTTGTGTTATCGGAATAAAGAAGAAATTATCATGTGTAAAACCCATAAAGGTTCATGTCATTAACACAATGAATGGCTTAAGAGAAAAGCAAGAAGAATAAAGGATTTATGCATGATTTA